TCGAAACTGGTTCCCACCAACTACTAAGTACTTGACCAATATTTGTTGAATATGATCATGGCCATACCCTTTTCTAAAAAGGCATTTAAGGTAGCTCTAATTGGCCTACATTGATTCCTTCTTACTTTCCATGGCTTACAGAAATGGAAAATTACCTTTGGTTTCTCCATGTTTCCTGTTTTGAGCAGCAATAATCGACAGATATCAAAGTTGTTGCCCTGTGTTGCAGAAAGAACTCTTGATGGGAAGTCGGAAGATGTGGCCTTAGTCCTGACTCCCTCTTTTAGTGATTTTGGAGAGGCAGAGGGGTCATTCGCCTTTCATGCCGTTTCTCAGGGCTGTAGGGAGGACAGATGAGATACCACATGGAGCGCTCTCTGAAGACCACATGGGTATCTGAGGGTGAGCTCGGGGGCCATGCCTGGGGGCTTTTACCATGAGAAGGATGGATACTCTTGCTCTGAATTCTTCTCTGGAGGGGTGCTGTCCCTGGTGCTGCTGGGAGGACTGGCTGTGTCAGCAGTGGGTTGGAGCAGATGCCCTGAGACCTTGTTGCCACCAGCTTGGCGGCCTGTGTCCCAGTAACACCATCCGCTAGGCTGCATAATGGAGACTCAGAGTTCCGGGATTAATGCTTGTGCTGATCTTCAAGGGCAGTGGTAGTTTCATGGTAGAATTCTCACCTCCCGTGTGGGAGATCCAGGTTCACTTCCTGGTCAATGTGCTTCATACACACTGACCACCCATCTGTCAGTTGAGGTGGGCATGTTGCTATGATGCTAAACAGGTTTCAGGGGAACATCTGGACTGACACTAGGAAGAAAGGCCTTGGCGATCTGCTTCTGAAGAGCAGCCAGTGACTGGGCAGCATTTAGGTCTGCTGTGCTTGAGGTTGTTATGAATTGAAGGCCAACTTGGTGGCAGCTAACGACATTGACCCCTATGACTTAAATGGACTCCCATGCTTACATGTATGTATGAGAACCCTACCTCAATCTTTTTAAAAGATTATTTGAGAAACATGACTTTCATTAGGAACTCTTGTGGTGCAGTGGATTAAGTCCTGGACTGGCAACTAAAAGGTCCATGGTTCAAACCCAGCAGATGCTCTGCTGGAGAAAGATGAGGCAGTCTGCTTCTGTAACGATTTCCCTGCTGAGAAAACCCTTTGGGGAAGGTCTGCTTTGCCCTATAGGGCTGCTGCGAGTTGGAATTGACTTGTCAGCAGTATGATTTAAAAAAAAAAATTGTTTGGGTTTGGCTTTCAAATATTCCCATTATTGTTGTTGTTAATTGCCATCAAGTCGGTTCTGACCCATAGCCACCCTCCTTAGGGTTTCTGGGAAGCAGCTGGTAAGCTTGAACCACCGACCTTGAGGTTCAAACTCACTTTGCAATCTAGCGCTGTATCCCACAGTACAGTACTAGGACTCCAGTATCCCCAGTATCTCAGTTAATTAAATGATTTCTCCGCTTCGTCAAATAATTCTTGGGGTGATGCTCACGCTATGAAGCCTTCTTGAAAACAAGAAATGCGATAACAACATCGTGAGGAAACAAACAATTTATATTTCTTCCTCATCACACATTGCTTTCTAAACATCCACCAGACGACCCGTCCTTATTTCTCCCGGCAGCTTTTTAAAAACACAGGCTCAAATGGAGCCAGAGATGATGACATGGAGCAATGGAGCAGCTGGAGACTTTAGATCCAGAGAGGGAGAGCGACTGTGTGCTGAAGACCTGGGGGGTACGGGGGAAGGATTGCATGGAGGGGATTGTAACCATGTCAATGAGACGATAGAATGAATGTAAAACTAATGTTCTCCCATGTAAACTATCACATAATTCACAATAAAATATTAACAAAACAAAACAAAACAAAACACAGGCTCATCTCTTTTTCTTTGATGTGCTGGGAACAGAGCCATGAACAAGGATGGTTCCTGTATTCATAGGATTTACATTTCTGTGGGAGAGTTATAAAAGGAGAGGAGTTTAGATTTTTTAACCAAGGTAGGCTTCTTGGGGCAGGTGATGTTTGAGTATGAAATGTTGAAATGAGATAGAGAGTCCTGTAAAGTTGTGGGGAAAATATTCCAAGCAGAGGACCCAGGTAGGGATGCAAAGGCCCTTAGGTAGGGATGGACTTGCCATGGTCAAGGGTCAGAGAGCAGGTGAGGAAAGGTGGGTGGGAGGGAGGAAGAGTGTGGGAGGAGAGGAGGCCCCTGGACAGGAAGGGTATCATCTATAGTGGAAAGAGTTTCAATTCCATTTCAAGTTAGCAAAAATTACAGATATTTAAAATGATTTGCACATGAAATAGTCTTTTGAGATACTAAGCATGCTAGTTTTAGCTGAGAGTCATAGAAGCTTTGCCAGGCATAGAATTAATGTGTTCTTGAAGCTTCATTTATGCAACCCCAAATCCCTACTTATTCCACAGGGACCATTTTTGCACCTTGTTTTATGAGGATATTTTAGCAGAAGTAGCCACTTCCACTTGACCAGGCAGAATTCTATTGGCGTGCATTTATGTGTGTGATCTCATTTCAACAAGAGAGATGAAAGAGCTCATTTTTCTGTGATTCTGTCACTGATTTCTGTTGACAACCTTTTCCAAAAATCCAGGGGTAGATCGGATGGAAGTCTAATTTTCTATTATCATAGAAACACATTCCTATAATTGAATAAGCCTTGAGAACAAGCTGTGAGTTCCTGAGGTGTCTTAGGAGAAGCAAGGAAACTTTTCATATTGTGTTGAGAATGTCTCCAAGTGAAACCCAACGGTGTCCAGAGGTCGGCTGCCGAGACTCCCACAACCATGACTTAGAGCAGGAACACACTGTAAAGACACACAGCGGGCTCAGTTTTCTCAGTAGTCACCTTTCAGATACTGAGGAGACATGTCTAATTTATGTCATCCCCATGCTTTCTTCTTAGGAGCCCTGGTGGTGTTATGGTTAAGCACCTAGTGGCTCACTGAAGGCTTGGTGGTCTGAATCCCCCAGTGGCTCCATGGACGAAAGAACTGGTGATTTACTTCTCTTTTTGTTGTTAAGTGCCATCAAGCCAGTTCTGAGTCATCGCGACCCTATATGGATAGGATTTCTGTGGAGTGGCTGGTGGGTTTGAACCGCCGACCTTGTGATTAACAGTCCAGGAGTTTTGTTGTTGCTGTTAAATTTCGTTGCGTCTGCTCTGACTCATAGCGACCCTATATAGGGTTTCCAAGGAGCGGCTGGTAGGTTTGAACCACCAACCTTGCAGTTAGCAGTCCAGTGCTTATCCTACAGCACTACCTTAAAAACCCTATGAGGCAGTTCTGCTTTGTCATATGGGGTCACTATGAGTCAGAATCCACTCCACAGCACATCACAATGGCAACAAGGTCTCATGGATGGAGCAATTGCTGTGCAAACAGACTCCTCTTGGATGGAATCAATGCCTTTGATTAAGAAATAATGTCACCTTAAGGGTTGTTGGTCAGGTGGGAAATTATAGACTGAGGTAAGCACACCTGGAGGGGATATGAAAGAGGCAGGCAGTTGCCATGAGACATCCTTGCAAAGGTGAAGTATATGAAGCATGAGATTCCAGTGTACACTCTTGGTAATATTTTGTTGTTAAAGTGCTATCGAGTCGATTCTGACCCAGAGTGACCCTATGTAGGCTTTCGGAGGATGACAGCTAAAATATAAAGTTGGTAGCTTCCTAAGGAGGCTTTATTTGACCCTTTTTTAAAACAAGTTTTTATTGTGAATTGAGTGATAGTTTACACGGGAGAACATCGTTTTTACACCATTGTTTCATTGCAATGATTACAGTCTCCTCTGTGCATCGTCATTCAACAGTATTTGCTTCTGTTCCTCCATTTTTTTTGGGGGTGGTGGTAATACACAAAACCACTCAGGAATATATAAGAATTTAAACAACTAAAGGGCACATTCTACAAGCCTGCCTCCTGGCCGCCAGTCTTTCTCTTTCCATGAGTCTAGAGTCCTCAGCTGCTCCCTTTCTCCGTGTCTTCATCTCTGCCTCTATCTCTGGTGTCACTGATTATCTGGATAGGGTCCCGCATTCCACTCATACTCTTCTCTCCTTGATGGTCCTCTGTTTCTGAACTGTAAGATTAACTACTCTCCCGTTTTTGTTATGAAACTTCTACCTTTACAGTTGAGACAGTTGCAGTTAGTCATGATAACAGTTACTCTCACTGTTGAATCTTAAGAATCTTATCCCCATCTCTTTTCACCAGACCCATCTAGACAAGATGAAAACTATTCAATGGGGACTCCACCTTCCCCAGCACACTCTTAAACTAAACTCCCTCTTGAAACCTTGTAAGCCAGTCACTTCGTGCTTTTATTGTCCCCTCGTTTTAAGTAGCCAATGTATTTGACCCATTTTTGCATTACAAAACCAAATCCTAAAATCTTCCTCTAAATAATGTATTCCAGAAATCAACATTATTTAGGGTTTTGAGTTTGGAGAGGTAGTTATACACTGTGGACTGCATTACTGGACACCAGAGACAGGGGCTAATTATTGGACTGTTCATCACAAGGTTGGTGGTTCAAACCCACCAGTTGCTCCGCAGCAAAAAAATGTCTATTCCAGTAAAGACTAACAGCCTTAAAAACCCTAAGGGCTTCTATGAGTCAGAATCAACTTGACAGCAGTGGTTTTGGAATTTTGGGGGTTTAGTGGTCTGTGGTCCTGGTGTGTGCTATAGGTAAGTACTGAAATGCTCACTGCAAGGTCAGCTGTCCAAATCTACCAGCTGTTCCTAGGAAATCCCATATGGGGTCATTATGAGTCAGAACAGACTGCAAGGTACTTAACACAAACAAGTGGTCTGGGAGAACTTTGGGAGACCCAACACCCCAGATATTAGTGTGTTGGGGTGGCACTTTGCTGTGGGGTGGCAGCTGGGGCTTGGAGTTCAGTACCCCGTTTCTTACAAGGCCAACATTGACCCACTTCTGGTTTCCTTGCAGGTTGTTGCAGATCCTTGTGCCAGCCACCCTTGTTACCATGGTTACTGTCGCAGCAGCAGTGATGGCTACGTCTGTGTTTGCAGCGAAGGATACGAAGGGACTCACTGTGAACAGGCAGTTCCCAGTCTCCCGGTCTCCAGCTGGACCGTGGCCACAGTACCCAGGCAGCTGCAGCCTGTCCCTGCCACCCAGGAACCCGAGCTGAGCCAGCCCCGCTCTCCAGCCACGGCACCCCTGCCCACGTGGCAGCCGAAAACAGGGCAGAAAGTTGTAGAGATGAAATGGGATCAAGTGGAGGTGAGGGCGGTTTATTGCCGCTATTTCTACATAAGAACTCAGAAAATGTAACATAATTACGGTGGCTCTAATATCAGTAGTACAAATGAGAGGTCTGTAAGTTGCCTATTGAACAGAACAAGGTTCCTAACCTTGTTCTGTGAAGCTTTGGTGGTTCCATGGGAGAATCCTCCCCTTCCCTGAGAAGGATCTGGGTTCACGTTCCAGCCAATGTGCTTCCTGTGCATACTATCTGTCAGCGGAGCCCTGAGTGTTGCCAGGATTGAGCTTCTAGAGTAAGATGAACTAGGAAGAAAGACCTGACGATCAACCCATGATGACCCTGTGGATCAGTGGTCCATGTTTTGTTCCATTGTGCACAGGGAAACCGTCAGTTTGTGGGTTGTAGCTACCAACAGCAACTTATTCTGGTCCACTCGTATGCGGTACACAGATTCTTGGGTACACAACTAAAATATTTCAATCATGGTCATTTTGTGAGCATAAAAAGAGTCAACAAGAAAATAAAATGAGTGAGTGGCATTTCTTTTTTAGATAGGTATCCACAGGCATTTCTGCGATGGAATCTTTAGCGAATTAGAAACCGTTGATTTTGGGCTGAACGGCGCATTGAGGAGGCTTAGACATGAACTATTACACAGCCTTCTACCTTCAAGTGCTGACCTAATTTCCCTTCCACGGAAGATTATGTTAAACTTTTATTTCTGGTTTTGCATGTCGAAGTGTTACTTATCTTGTAGCACTTCCAATAGGATTTAGATAAGAGAAAACATCCTCGATTCTTTATTTTGAGAATGGTGTTTCCAAATCTTATTCTGGGCAAGAGAAAATGCCTTCTGTTGAAACTTGCCCATTCTGGGTATGGTTTGGGGTCTTTTCAAGTGTATCAAAAGTCTCTTTCTGAAGATTTTTCAGCAAACCTCTAAAAGTTGGTATAAAATGTCAATGTCCTAGCTTGAACAGGTGGGGACAAACCCAGAGCCCGAGTAATCCCATTCCATAGCTTAAACTTCCTGTCCCCAGTAGCCTGTGGTTGTGTATTGACGAGAGCACACGGATCTGTGAGTATCTGTAACAGATTCAGTGAATGTGTCTGCGAGTTCCTTATTGTCATGAAGGAGATGTGTATTATTTTTTCCTTCCTTTTCTTTTCTTGGGTAATTTTGTCAGCTGACTTCACTTTTATTCCTCATTGCCTCAAAGCTGATGAAGGCTACATTAACTGCAAGACAGTGTTTTTAGCTCAGCTTAAAAACAAAAAACAAAACAAAACCATCCAACGCAGCAACAACAATGACAACACTGTGGACTAGTTCCGATCCCAGACTTCCGATACATCCTTTGAAGGGATCATTTCCATACCTCTTTTCTGGGTGTGAGCTCAATCTTACACCATTTAAATCTATTTACTTTAACACATGTGGTGCTGGAGGATAAGCGCTGGACCCCAAGGTTGGTTTGCACCTCGAGGTGTGTTGTTCAAACTCAAAAGTTGCTCCTCGAAAACCCTATACAGAGTTGCTATGAATCAGAGCCGACTCGATGGCACTTAACAACAACAACAACAACATTCTAGTGTTGGTAAGGGTAAAACCTTCTCTTCTGGTCACACTGTTATTCCTTAGACTGTTCAGGAAGCATTTGAAAAGTACCAGAGGCAGGCATGTGAATATGTGTGGATTCTCCCCATCCTCCCTCTCCCCGATTTTTTTTTTTTTTTTTTTAATAATGACTCTTCTTTGGAAAGTTCTTTGGAGTCTTGTAGAATGGCAGACTATGTAACAATTTGATTATACAAATTAAAGTTGGGTTCACATGTTTAAATCTTCGTGGGGGACGGTACTCACAGTATTTGACTTCAGTGCATTTGGATCATTTTTAAGTGTTGGGTGTAGGGTGAAAGTGCTGAGAACTTGTGTTTCGTCATCAATACCATACTTTTTTTTTTTTTTTTTTTTTTAACTAAAAGAGCTGACAATTTTAGTTTCACATGTCACAATACATTTTTTTTTTTTTTTTGTCCATTACTCCACTTCAACACTATTTTCTCTTTGATAGAAAGGGGTAACAAGTCTTCCTTGTGCTGTTAGGAGACACCCAGAGTCACAGCACCTGACCTCCTGGTGAAGTAGTACAAGTAATAGAAAAACGATACAAAGAGGCTGCCTTCTGTCTTTATCTGTCTGGCCGAGTCATTCCTGGCCGAGTGGTCACCATCATAGGACGGGCAGGGGGCGTCTCATCATGGGAGGCCCAGACATCATTGGCATGTGGCCTCCCATGGGTGGCATCATCCCAGGAGGAGGAGGACCCATCATTGGCATCATAGGAGGACCCCCCATATGGGGTGCTGACATTATACCAGGGCGAGGAGGACCCAGGAGACTGGGGGGAGGCGGGATCATCGCCCCTGCTGGAGGAGGAGCAGAAGATGGGGTAGGAGGTATTTTCCGTTGTTGAAATGCAGCTGTTGTTTTGTCAGTTAAACTCTGAGCCTGCTCTTCCATCCATTTCTGAGAGTAGTCTTCACCATTCTCTTTGTGTTTCCTACCACTACAATGTGTCTTTCTCATAGTTGGAGAGTCATGGATGAGGTATATGTATCACAGTAGTCACAATAAAACTTGGGCATGATGCTCAGCCGGCCGTTTCTCAATACCATACTTTAAAAATGAATGGTAGCCTATGGAACTAAACATATTTCTATACACAACAACGTCATGAGCAGTTCAGTGAGGTGGGCTACCTATTTCACACAGAGGCACCATTCTGTCTCTATCCACACTGCTTCTTCATCACCATTAATATCGGCTCTCTGGCCCCGAAAGTTCTCATGAATGCTTCCGAGGAATATTGCCTATGTACGTGACTCATCAGGCTACTTGATTATAAGAGCACAATGGTCCAGGCAAACATTCATCATTAACTGGGCTACACTGTTGTTTAGTTTAACCTTGGCATCATGGAATAATAGTTTTGGTTCAAGGTTTAAAGTTCATTTCTGGACATTAGATTTGGGGTTCCCCCCAAACTCAGTGGATCTAGGAAGGCTGATTTCCATATGTGGACTTCACCTTTTATGATGTCTTGATGCTTCTTTGTAAACATGAAGTTCTTTGGAGCCCTGTTGTTGTCGTTATTAGATGCCATCGAGTCTGTACCAACTCATAGCGACTCTGTACAGGGTTTCCAAGGAGCAACTAGTGAGTTTGAACAGCCTACCTTGTGGTTCAAACTGACCATGGGATCCAGTGCTTATCATACAGTGCCACATGTGTCAAAGTAACTAGATTTAAATGGTGGCCTGATAAACTGGGACTAAGATTAGAGCACAACAGAATGAAACACTGCCCGGTCCTGGGCCAACCTCACAATTGTTTCCACGCTTGAGCCCATTGATGCTGCCACTTTGCCAATCCATCTCGCTAGGGGTCTTCCACTTTTTCTCTGACCCTCCTCCTTACCGAACATGATATCCTTCTCCAGCGACTGTTCCCTCCGGACAATATGTCTGAAGTATGACAGACAAAGTTTGGCCATCCTGGCCTCCAAGGAACACTCTGGCTGTACTTCTTCCAACGCAGATGTGTTTGTTCTTTTGGCAGTCCATGGCACTTTCGATATTCTCTTCTAACAACATAACTCAAAAGCATTAATTTTTCTATGGTCTTCCTTATTCACTGTCCAGCTTTCACATGCTTATGAAGTTATTGAAAATACCATGGTTTGGATCAAGCGCACCTTAGTCCTCAAGCTGACATCTTTGCTCTTCAACACTTTAAAAAGGTCTTGTGCAGCAGATTTGCCTAATGCAATATGTCGTTTGATTTCTTGACCGCTGCTTCCATAGTGTTGATGGTTGATTCAAGAGGACTAAATGTTAAGTCACATTGTTGGTAACACAAATGAGGAACTTTACCCACAGTATCTGACTCTACAGGTCATCCCTGGGTTACCAGTGGTCCACTTCTGGACAACTCCTATTTATCCTTTAATGTTATGTAAATTCACCCTCACTTTGGAATTATTAAGGATCCCTGGTGCTGCAGTAGGTTAAGTCTTGAGCTTCTAACTGCAAGGTGGGAGGTTCAAACCCACCAACTGCTCTCAGGAAACCTTTTGCATTTCAGAAAATCAAGTGGTAAAACTTTCATTTTCTTTTACATTCATAAGGTTCTGTCCTCTCCTTATTCCTGCTCCATGGAAAGAAACAGAGGCTGTCACCTCTAAAATACAAAAAACAAACCCACTACTATGAGTTGATTCTGACTCATAGCGCCCCTAGTGGACAGAGAACTGCCCCACGGGGTTCCCAAGGAACTTTCTGGACACAGACGGACTCATCTGTCTCAGGTGGTGCAGCTGAATGAATGTGAACCGCCACCTTTCAGTTAGTAACTCAGCCAACGCATGTGGAAATTTACTTTACAATATTACTGCGTTCTGTGATCAGCTCCAATAACTAGACTTTCCCCCCACCCCCCAGGTGATCCCAGATATTGCTTGTGGGAACGCCAGTGCCAACAGCTCTGCAGGTGGCCGCCTGGTATCCTTCGATGTGCCACAGAACACCTCAGTAAAGTGAGTTTTCCCCGTCAAGGTGCTCGCTTGGTACACTGACCCCTGGCTGGGCCATGTGTGTAACAGGGTCGGGAACTAGTTAGTCCCGTGGGGTTCATGGAAGGAGTCCCGTGTGTAGATGAGGCCCAGGTTACTCAGAACCTGGAGGGAGTATTTCAGAGGAGGCAAGGGCAGGTAGGATCGCTGACAAGGCTGGGAATGTGGGATTGTGGAATTGGATTGGATAAATCGGTATGAGGAAGGAAAACCTGAGACCCTAGATAAAATTCGGAGCCAGACTTACCCCTTTCTGAATCACTGAGCTTCCCAGATTATTTAGTCTCTTATGGTCTTAATTAGCTGAATTTAATAATAATAATAAAGGAGTCCTGGCACGCTATGGGTTAATGTGCTGAACTGTAAAGTCGGTTTGAACCACGAGGACCGTGATTCAAGCTCACCAGCTGCTCCTAGGAAACCCTATACAGGATCACTATGAATTAGAACTGACTTGATGGTGCTTAGCAACAACAACAACAATAAAAACAATTAAACTGAATTTAATTTATTTAAAATGAAGGTTCAGATGCATAATTCTGCCCCTCCTTTAAATTACAAATATTTGCAATCTTCTCTTGGAGAACAGGCAACTGAGAGGGTTATGTTTCCTCGGACTTTTCTTCTCTTTCACAGGACACAGTTGTGGGGATGAGGTGAGGGGTGGTCACACTGATGGGGTGGGGGCATCTGCTGTGTGCCAGGTACCCTTCCGTAAGCCCCAGTGACCGTGGTCAATGAGTACAGTGGAGCCAGCTTGGAGGGTTCCAGACTCCACAGATCACCCTCAACTCCCTTTCCTCTGCCACCCCAAGCCCATAAAATGGGTGCTCACTGTCAGCCTTTGGGGACTTTAGGTTGGGGACCTGTGGCCACAGGTTTTTTTAAGAGTAACAATGGACACTTTACCGGGGCATTTTGGACACCTTGCTTTGTGATGGGAGCAGTGGAGTCATTAAGTGTTGGGAAGGGGGACTTTTATTATATTGTCCTGTATCCCCACCCCCTTACCCACTCTGAAAGGGCAGTGAATGTCTTGGACTCAGGAAGGACTGTGCCCTGGGGAGAGGGGTGTGTCGTCTAAGGCTGCTTCATGTTCCACCAGCAGGGGGCACCCTGCCCTAAGTGTTGCGATAAGCCTCATACCCACACGCCCCCACCGTCTGGCTGTCTTTGGGAAACATGGATCATTCATTTCCTTGGCTTTCCTGGAGCGATCTCCCAGTCTGTCTCATCTTAATTGTATTTCCTTACCTCTGTCAGCGTTCCTAACAGTTCTAACTTCATCCTTTCATGATGGGTTGGTTTTGTTTCACACACACACACACACACACGCACAGACACACACACACACACACACACCCACCCCAGTAAACCTAGAGTTCTCTAAGACTTCCCTCCCCTGGCTGCAGACCTGACTCAGTCTGAGTAAAATGAGGTACCAGATGATCTCGGGATGCCTGGAACTCATTTGTTGGGGTGACCAGCCCCTTACTCTTTCATTTTTTTATGAACTCAGTTGTTTCTTTAACTTTTTAGAGCACCCTGTTGCAATCTGGGATTGGCCTGGGAAGGCAGCTGTGCATGCAGATGGTGATGGGATGAGAGGACTTCTAACCCCAGGCAGGGACCCATTCTCCAGAAACACAGAGGAAAGGATAGAACTGCCGGGGGACAGGAGGGTCAGGATGCCAAAGAAGACAAGATGTGGGCTAAATCTTGAAGGGTTATGTATTTTCCAGGCAGAAAACAGAACCAGTTGCCATCCACTCAAACTCACGTGGACCCCATGTGTGTCAGAGTAGAACTTTGCTGCACAGGGTTTTCAGTGGCTAATTTCTCAGAAGAAGGTTGCCAGGTCTTTCTTCTGAGGTACTTATGGGCAGGTTTGGTTAGTAGCTAAACATGTTAATCATTTGCACAAGAGAGAAAAGGAAGCACAAGCTGGGAGCTGGGAAACAGCATGTCTGGGGAAGAGCCAATAGCTTATTGTCTATAACACTGGGTTGTAAGGGTGGAGATTTGAGGCTGGGAGGTAGCTAGGGTCAGGGCTGACTGTCAGTGTAACTCAGGCGGCTGTGTTGAGCTACAGTACACCTTTATCATGAATTTTAGCTGGACTCTTTATATTGTGTGGTTATAGAAGGATTAGATGTGTAAAAGAACACAAAAACACCCAAATCCCAAAACACAACAACAAAAACTAAGCCCACTGCCATCCGTTCCAACTCATAGTCAGTCATTGGTGCAGAGAACAGCTCCATAGGGTTTCTGTGGCTGTGAATTTACTGCAGCAGACAACCTCCTTTCCTTCCTCTGAAGCAGCTGGTGGGTTTGAACTGCTAACCTTTCAGTTAACAGCCCAACACTCAGCTCACTGTGCCACCCCCCAAAAAAATCCATTTCTATGGAGTCAATTCCAATTCATAGTGACCCTATTTAGGATTTCAGAGACTGAATTTTTATGGGAACAGACAGCCTCATCTTTCCCTTGTGAAGTGGGTTTGAACTATCTATCTTGCTGCTAGGAGCCAAACACTTAACCCACAGCACCATCAGGTCTCCTTGGAACAACTCCAAGTAGCCTTTTATTGTTTAGGTAGCCCAAGGTGATTTACGTATGACCGATTTTGTGGGGTATCGCACGGAGATCAGTCTCCCTGAGTTAGACCGGGTGTTTGCTTGAAAGACATCTCTTTCACTTCCCAGCACCATTTGGGGTGTGTGTGTCATCTTTATTTTTATTTTGAATTTGGTGAGCTGATTGTCAGATGAATTTTCCCCAAATTGACTTTCCATTTCATTTCCTGCTTTCAGAATGGGACAAGACGCCTCTGCTTCCCTGATTTTGCTATGGAAGGTCACAGCCAACGGGTTCCAGCAGTGCTCGCTCATCGATGGTCGGAGCGTGACCCTCCTGCAGGCCCCCCGGGGCCTTGTCCTCTTGGAGGAGATGCTTGTCCTGGGACCCAATTACTTCATCGGTGAGTCACAGCATCTCCTTTCTCCAAACGCTTCCAGCACCCATATCTGATTCAACCCAGCCTGGGTTTAGTTGGTAGAGACAGAAGATAGGGATTTACCCTAATCATCTGTGTTCGAACCCATCAAAACTACCTCCATGTTGCTATTGTTGTTGTTAAGTGCCTTCAAGTCAGGTCTGATCCATAGTGACCCTATGTAGGGGTTTCTGAGGAGCAGCTGATGAGCTTGAACCACCCACCTTGCAGTTCAAACCAACTTTGCAGTCCAGTACACTAACCCACAGCATTAGGTAAGGCTTTATGTCTAGTCAAAACTGGTTTCTAAGATAAGACTTCAAAGAGTTCCTAGAGAAATAGAATAAAAAGATAGTGGATTTTTTCCTTGAACTTTGAAGCCCCCTCCTATGTCCAGTGTGACTCAAAGTGGACAAAGTTTGGGCTTCTGAATTCAGTGTCTGTGTCCCGATTCTGACCCAGCTCCCGAGGGGTAGGTGGTCTTAGGGAGCTCCCTCCAATGCTCTGCACTTCCATTTAATGCCTGACTCTTTCATCCACTTGTGCCAGGAATTGTGGGCAAGCATCTCAGAAAACCCTTAGTTCTCACTGGGCTGGGCCCTGCTTGAAAAAAAAGGGTCTCTGAGGAGCCACCAGCTCTGAAATCATTTGCAGGTTTATAGCTCTCTTGGAACCCCTCTTCTCCATCCCCACCTTTCCTTTGAGGGGAAATTCTATCTTTTCACTCTTTTTTTTTGCTGTTGTTATTGTTGTTTTTTAAAAAATGTGTTATTGTGAATTATGTGATAGTTTACATGGGAGAACATTACTTTTACATTCATTCTATCGTCTATCATCTCATTGCCATGGTTACAATCTCCTCCATGCAATCCTTCCCCCAAACCCCCCAGGTATTCAGCACACAGTCGCTCTCCCTCTCTGGATCTAAAGTCTCCAGCTGCTCCATCGCTCCATGTCATCATCTCTGGCTCCATTTCAGGCATCACTGCTTCTCTGGGTAGGGTCCCGCTCTCTGCTCTTCTCCCTTGATGGTCCTAGGGACCTCCGCTCCTAGACTGAAAAGTTAATCACTCCCCTCCTTGCTATAAAATGTCCACCCTTACATTTCTGACCCTCACAAACAGTCCTGATAACAATTATTCACTATTGTATCACAAGAGACCCGTCTGCATTTCATTGCATCAGCCCCGGCTAGTCAGATTGAATACTACTCACTGGAGATTCTACCTTCCTCCAGGCCCTCTGGATCTAGGTTCCCTCTTGAAAGCTTGTAAGCCTGTCACTTCTTGCCTTTGTAGCCCCCCACCCCCCATTTTGGGTAGCCAATGTCCAAGTTGCCCATCCCTGTCTACTCTGTTTTCACTCTTTCTTAAACATGCCTCTGTAAGGTAACCTCTGAGCTATCACATAGCCAATGAACTGTTTTCAGACTTCTCTGTCCCTGGTATTAAAATGATCTCTCCCTCTTACATTGCTCTCCATTTCCCAGTGCTTCCCCCCGCCCCTCCTCCCCAGCTTCTTGCTCCTCTGAGGGCTGCATGTGGGCAGATTTTCAGTGGATTGTCATTTGTCACCTCCACCCTGGAGTAGCATTCTGACTGTATCCAGCACGTTCGTCTCATCCCCCCCTCCCCACCCCGTCAGCACCAAGTGCCTTTTGGGGTCAGGATGGGTAACTGTAACCCTTTAATATACTGATATCCGCTGCTGTATTGGCATTTGTCCCATTTGTAGGCAGCCTAAATTCAAAGCTACAACTCAATTTTAGACTCTCCCCATCCCAGGCCAAGGTACGCAAATGCCCTCCTGCTACATTTCTTAGTAGGGTCTCTGGTCCTGCCATCTGTCCCCATATCCCTCACCCAGAGGATGGGAGTCAGGAGTGATGCAGCCTTTCTCAGGCTTCCACGAGACTCCGAAGGTGAAAGCATGAATTACAAATACTAAGAATTATTTTAGGGCACTCTCGATTTTTTTTTTTTAAAGAGATACACTAAGCATTTCACTTAATTAAATAGACACTGTATCTTTGATGGGCAGCTCAGTGACTCTATATGATAAGCACTGCATTACAAACCACTGGGTTGGCAGTTCGAACTCACCAGGCGCTCCCCAGAGGAAAGATGAGGCTTTCTGCTCCAGCAAAGATGCACAGCCTTGGGAACCCTATACCAGGTTGCTATGAGTTGGCACCTACTCAAAGGCACTTAACAACAACAACAGAGTCACATCTATTTTTCATTCCCTAATGCATTCCAGTTGAAATATGTTAGGGAATGTAGATTGAAAATATGTCCCTGGTGATAGAAATGATCCTGGAGATTGCATGATAGAATTTTGCCAAACCAATGACTTCTTCGTTGTAAATGAAGGAAACGCTGCTTCCTTTTTAAAACAGCATAAAAAGCTGCTGTACACATAGACCTCGTCTGATGGGATACACAGTGATCAAGTTGACTACATCTGTGGGACGAGATGAAGAATCTCAATATCATCAACGAAATTAAGGCCAGGGGCCAACTTTGGAACAGATCATCGGTTGTCCATATGCAAGTTCACACGGAAGCAGAAGATGATTAAAACAAGTCCATCAGAGACAAAATATAATCTTGAGTATATTCCGCCTGAATTGAAAGACCATCTGAGGAACAGATGTGATGCATTGCACACTAATGCTAGAAGACCAGAAGAGTTGTAGGGTGGCATCAAGAACATCATACAGGAAGAAAGCAAAATGACATACAAAAAATTGGATGGGAAGAAAAGACAAGAATGTATGCCAGAAGAGACTATGAAACGTGCCCCGGAGCATAGAGAAGCTAAAGTGAGTGGGAGAAATGAGGAAGTCAAAGAGCTGAACAGAAAATTTCAAAGAACAACTTGAAAAGACAAAGTCAAATATTATAATGAGATGTGCAAAGATCTGGAATTAGAAAACCAAAAGGGAAGAACGCGCTCAGCATTTCTCAGCCTGAAAGAATAGAAGAAAAGAAATCAAGCCTTGGGATTCAATATTGAAGGATTCTATGGGAAAATATTGAGTGATGCAGAAAGCACCAAAAGAAGATGGATGGTATGCACAGAGTCACTGTACCAAAAAGAAATGGTTGATGTGTAACCATTTCCAGAGGGAGCAGATGATCAAGATCTGAGAGTACTGAAGGAAGAAGTCCAGGCTGCACTGAAGACACTGGTGAAAAACAAGGCTCCAGCAATTGGTGGAAGACACATGGGAATGTTTCAACAAACTGATGCAACACTGGAGGTGCTCACTCATCTATGCCAAGTAATTTGGAAGACAGCTCCTTGGCCAGCCAACTGGAAGAGAACCATATCATCAACAACCGTATAGTTAATATCACAAGCAAGTAAAATTTTGCTGACGATAATTAAAAAATGGTTGCAACAGTACATTGACAGAGAACTGCCAGAAATTCAAGCCAGATTTGGAAAAGGATGTGAAACTAGAGATATTATTGCTGATGCAGATGGATCTTGCTTTGAAAGCAGAAAATTTCAGAAAGATGTTTACTTGTGCTTTATTGACTGTGCAAAAGCTTTTGACTGTGTGGGTCATAACAAGCTATGGACAGCATTGTGAAAAATGAGTATTTCAGAACACTTTATTGTACTCATGAGGAACCTGTACATAGATCAAGAGGCAGCTGTTTGAATAGAATATGGGACTACTGAGTGGTTTATGTTAAGGAAAGGTGTACACCATGGTTGTATCCTTTCACTATATTTACTCACTCTACATGAATGAATAATCCCGTAGAATGAATGATTAGACATCTGAGCAAATAATCTGAGAAACTGTATTATATGAAGAAGAACGTGTTATTAGGATTGGAGGAAGACTCATTAACAACCTGTGATATGCAGGTGACCGAGCCTTGTTTGTATCATTTAAAGTGAAGAGGATTTAAAAATACTGATGAAGATCCAAGACTACATCTGTGGTATGGATGCACCTCAATGTAAAGAGAAAAAAAAAAAAATATATATATATATTCACCGCCTTGCCAATAAATAACATCAGGATAAATGGAGAAAAGACTGAAGTTGTCAAAAACTGCATTTTGCTTGGAGCCACCATCAACATTCATGGAAAAGCAATCGAGAAATCAAATAACTTATTCAATTAGATGAACCTGTTGTATAAGATCACTTTAAAGTGTTTGAGAGCAAAGATACCAGTTTGAGAACTAAGTTGCGCTTGATCCAAGCCATGATAATTTTCAGTTGCTTCAAATGCATGTGAAAGTTTGACAATGGATAAGGAACACAGTAGAAGAACCAATGAATTACAGTGTTGGAGAAGAATATTAAAAGTACCATGGACTAATAGAAGAACAAACAAATCTGTCTTGGAAGAAGTGTAGCCAGAAGGCTCCTGAGAAGCCAGGATGATGAGACTTGGTCTTTTGGTCTTTGAATATGTTATCAGGAGGTACCAGTTCTTTGAGAAGGACATCATGCTTAGTAAAGTAGGGGGTCAACGAAAAACAGGAAGACTCACAACAAGATGGATTGACACAGTGGCCGCAACAGTGGGCTCAAACGTAATAGTAATTGTGAGGATGAGGCTGGCCTGGACAGTGTTATGCTTTGTTGCGCATAGGGTCACTATGAGTCGGAATCTACTCAATGACACCTAGCAACAACAACAACAACACATTCCCAGTAACTGTCATTTACTTCTATACATTGTGTAAAAGGAAACAGTTTGAGGTTTTGATAAATGATTTCCTTTTTATTTTATAATGATCTTTTCAGGTTTTTTCTTGACTAGATTAATTTACCCTTGTATGACCTGGAGCTAATATTGCAAGAAAATATATGCGGTGTTACTAGTCTTTAAAAGACTAATTTGTCCAGAAGCTATCCATTTGAAATATTGGCTAATAGTTTATGCTACTCTCTTAATTTTCTAGGCCTTCTAGAAAAGAAATACCACACGTGGGTGGCCTTAAAGAAACAGA